TTGACCGTCACATTATAACGCCCCCACGGCTGAAAGGGGCGAGCATGTTTGGTGGGGCGGGGATTCGAACCCGTGAATAACTATCAGAAAATATGTTTCGTTTTAAAAAATAAAAATAATAATTACATTGTGATCTTAGACTTCGCACTCCGAAATTATTTTTAACACTGATTTTGAGATAATTAAAAACAAGCATGTGCCCTTTCTATCAAGTGAATAATTGTATTAAATACATACATAAATCAGTAAAAAGTATCAAAGAAACTCAGTAGTAAAGATTCATGATGATGAAGATTTGAAATTTATTTTGTGGGGTTTAGTTAAAAAACATTTTTTATTTTATTTTTGGAAGAACATAAGAATACCTAGAAATCTCTTTACTGGGTTGAAATTTATTTGTATAACTTCAGCAAAATTTGACCCTGGCCACAACGATTTTGCATTAAGTAAAATATAGCTTCAGAAATGAAATGCTGTGTACAATCTTTATAAATACATCATCAACACAAACTTTTAATTTAAATTTTGATTTTCATACGTCATTATTCGTCGAATACCACACTAATGAAATAGCTTCTTAGACAATGGAATATATCATAAATTTTACTCCTCTGTATAGACCGGAAAAGGACTGTACTATTATAGAATAATTAGACAACACATATTTATTCAGCTCTGTTATTTTCACTCGTACAACATTGAGTCTGTACATGCTCTCCTAACCCTGTACACAGAGGTGTTGTTTGCAATGGATTTCTGGTATTCTCAAATGAATTTCGTTTGAAAACTTTACATGAAAATTTAGAGAAGTATTCAGCTAAGTAAAACCTAGACATTAAGTTTGATGAATAATTATATTGCTACTGCATTCAAAGCACTGATTAATTCAATCATATATAGTATAATTGCTATAACAAGCCTTGTAGGGAGTTAAAGTTGATTGTAAGTTAAGTGACAGTGGTAAATACGCACTCTATTTCTTAGATCAATAGTTTAGTTGTTGTTGTGTTTTTTTTTACAGCGTGCGAAATTCGATCGCCTGTAGGCCTAACTAAATACTTTTTAAAGTTAAAAACTTATATTTCTACAGTCTGTATATTTAATTGAAAAGCACGAGGAAATTCAATGTTACAAAGCAAAAGCTTTATTTAGATAGTTCTACATCATAACAACAAATAAACAACATGTCATGCAAACAATAAATAGATAAATATATCCAACAAAAACAATGCAAAATCATATATAAAATATGCAACTGAAGCTTTTAGCAATCGATTATGTTTATGCATCGTTATACATATATTATGAAGAACAACATCATCTTTTCTGAGTAGTGGTAGACAAAAACTGAGAATTAGACTATTCATTCACTACTAATTCTCATGGCTAAACGTGAGAATGTTCTGTGACATTTAAATGACATTATTATTTTACATTTAACATACATGCGTTTATATCAATACATAAAGATAAATAATACAGATGTAGAAAGTATTTTTATGGATATTTTTATCAGATTACAAAAAGCTTGCCGGGAAACATGTGCACATAGCATTTGAAATTACATTCATAATATCTTCAGTAAGGTAACAAAGGTCTAATATATAATTATCCAGTAGTGCATGAGCACACCATTTCTAAGTGCTATCTTATAGCTCAATATTTATAATTTTGTTACGAATTAAAGAACAAAAATAAATGATAAAGTTTCACGACTCTACTAATTTGTCAGAGTGTCCTAAGCCAAAGAAACACAACTAATAGTTTTAATTCGGTTTCTGAACATTTCTAGGTTCAATATCCGTATTGAGCGTCTGAATATGAATAAACATGAGCAGGATCTTGGTTGGAAGTCCCAGGTTCATTGCTGGAAACCTCAGCCCTGAAGCCATAGCCGTCAGCCACATATTTTACTGAACGCCAAAGACCATAAGCATCTCTGTAACCATAACCGCCAAGTACATTATTGTAACCATCGCTGTTTTCTTGTTTCCATTGCTGGTTTCCATAGTAGTCATTAATTT